TACTCATCGACACACGCGCACGAAGGTTAATAGACGGAAACACTAAGTTGTCCGTTTGCGTAACTCCTTGTTCTGGTTGCAGGTTATCCCCAGTCACGATTAAGCACGCCATAGACCCCTTGTACCAAGCAGTACTCGACAAATACCCCGGGATATACCAATCGCAATCGAAATTACCTTGTGTAACCAGCAATGTTACACATCACATCTCGACTACAGGACCACCTGTATTTTCGAAAGCCCGAAGACTCGCTCCCGAAAAACTTAGGTTAGCTAAAAACGAATTCAACCACATGATGGACCTAGGAATAATTCGACCATCGAATAGTCCATGGGCATCCCCATTGCACATGGTCCCTAAAAAGGACAGCAATGATTGGCGGCCAACTGGTGATTATCGGCGTCTGAATGCTAAAACCATTCCCGATCGTTACCCGCTGCCTCATATTCACGATTTGACAGCTACCTTGAAGGGTACAACTGTCTTTTCGAAAATCGACTTGGTTAAAGCTTATAACTAAATCCCGATGGCACCTGACGACATTCCTAAAACCGCCATCATCACTCCCTTCGGTCTTTACGAATTTCTACGAATGCCTTTTGGTTTAAGAAACGCGGCTCAAACCTTCCAAAGGTTTATAGACGACGTCTTCCGAGGTCTCAACTTCGTACATGCGTATGTTGATGACTGTCTAATAGCAAGTTCGGACAAAGAATCGCATCTCAAGCATCTGGACATTGTTTTCGATCGACTCCAAAGGCATGGCATTACTGTCAACATTCACAAATGCCAAATCGGAACTAACTGCTTAGACTTCCTAGGACACACTATTGATGCTCAAGGCATCCGACCACTTAGGAGCAAAGTGGCGGCCATTCTGGATTACCCAGAACCGACCACGATCAAGCAGTTACGAACTTTCAACGGATTCGTAAGTTTCTATAGACGGTTCATACCTAAATGCGCATCCCTAATGAAACCGTTAACTGATCAGTTTTGTGGAAATGCGAAATCAATTAGTTTAGACGACATAGCTCGTAAAGCATTTTCCACAGTTAAGGAACACATCGCTAAAGCAACCTTGCTTGCTCATCAGGACAGTCAAGCGCCCATTAGTATCGCCGTAGACGCATCCGACTCAGCAATCGGAGCAGTCTTACAACAATGGGTTAACAACTCGTGGCAACCTTTAGGATTTTTCTCGAGACGGTTGCTAGACGCTGAATCTAGGTACAGCACGTTCGGTAGGGAACTCCTAGCTATGTATTGTGCTGTACGGCATTTTCAACATTCCATCGAAGGAAGAGAATTCACGCTCTTTACCGATCACAAACCTCTTACCTTCTCTTTAAGTTCATCTTCAGACAAGTACTCACCAAGAGAGTCTCGACAACTCGACTACATTTCGCAGTTTACTTCAGACATACAACATATTTCTGGAGCAAACAATGTAGTCGCAGACGCCTTGTCTCGAATTAGCTCCTTGAACAGTTTCCAAGGAATCGACCTTCTTAAACTCGCTCAGCTTCAAAAAGAAGACATTGATCTTCAGCATGAGTTATCCTAGACAACTCTAAAACTAAGTATTAAGCAGATAGTAACAGGTAAGGGAACCTTACTCTGTGACACATCTACAGGTAGGGATCGTCCAATTGTACCAAAACACTATCGCCGCAACGTCTTCAATACGTTGCACAATCTTTCTCATCCAGGTGCTCGTGCAACAATCGAACTTATAGCCGAACGCTTTTGTTGACCTGGCATGAATAAAGACGTGAGGGAGTGGTCACGCTCCTGTGTAAGCTGTCAGAAATCTAAGGTAATCAGACACAACAAATGTCCCTTAGGTTCTTTCAAAACCCCTGACGCTCGTTTCGACCACGTCCATCTAGATTTGGTAGGACCCTTACCCGACTCGAACGGATACTCATATCTCCTAACATGCGTAGACCGTTTTACTCGATGGCCAGAAGCAGTACCGATTAAGGACATTACTGCTGAAACAGTGGCTCGCACTTTCGTCGAACGATGGGTAGCAAATTTCGGCTGCCCTTCAACCATCACTACAGACCGCGGACACCAGTTCGAATCTGGACTTTTCCGTTGTCTGACCACACTTTTAGGAATCACGCGCTTCCGAACGACCGCCTACCACCCACAAGCAAACGGGTTGGTAGAACGTTTTCATCGACAATTAAAAGCTTCATTATCGGCTTCAAACGTTTCACAGTGGACAGACGCTCTTCCACTCGTCTTGCTAGGTATCCGCAATGCAGTGAAAGCTGACATTGGATACACGGCATCTCAACTCGTTTACGGAACGACACTCCGACTCCCAGGAGAATTCGTGGATCCTTCAGCTTCTTCATTGAACATGGATCTAAACTCTTACACAAGTAGGCTTACAAACGCTATGCGTTCAGTTAAACCTGCTCACACTCGACCTCAATCAACTGATGTTTTCGTTCAACCCGAATTACGACATAGTACACACGTCTTCGTTCGTCGAGACTCACATCGACGACTCCTCGAATCAGCATACGAAGGACCCTTCAAAGTTCTTCAACGCGAACCTAAGTACTATGTAGTTGATAAGAACGGTACGAAAGATAGCATCAGTATCGATCGACTCAAAGCAGCGTACTTAGAAGGAAACCCTAGCTACGTCGATTTTCCTTCGGTACAAGCAAACGACACAGCTACTACACTCATAGTACCCTACACGACAACCGACACACAACTTGATACTTCGTCAACGTCGATAGAAAAACCTAAAACAACGCGTTCTGGAAGACGAGTAAGATTTCCAGAACATCTTAACGAATATTGCACGTAGGACATAAGCTTTATCTGGAATTACCCTTTCAAAGTTTATTATAAATTTTTTTTAATATGCTCATTTTTTATTTATGTAAAAAAAACAAACAAAAAAAACATTTTTTTTTGAACGTATATATATATATTTATATACTAAAAAAAACCAAAAGAAAACCTTTTTCCCGATCGCTTTTACGCTGTTTGTAAGTGTATCAGTTTATTTTTTTTTCCGCTCATCTTGTGTCCTTACGCAAGTACGAGTGTATTTTTGACATGCACTCACACGTTTTACTTTTCCTCTTTTCCAGGACGGCTGGAAAAGAACGACGAAGTTTCGCAAGGAACAGAAATTTTCATTGTACAATATTTCTTTATTTGCTACGTTATACATTTTGGTCCCATAGTTTAAGGAAAGACGACCAGACGCTGCTAAACGAAGCAAGCTATCAGAAGAGTGTTTACCAACGACTAACTTCTGGCTGGTCACGTCTTAGGGGCATCACTACCTCACTAGGGGGGGAGTGATCTGTAGCTGTAAATAATTCCCCAAAATCAATAGCTCATTAAGTGTTCGACATTGGATGCTGACCACGTTGTTTAAGTGGACTTGTTTAGCTGAAGGCTTTCGGTCATGCATCCGCACCAGATCACGTTTCAATACTGCGTGGGACACAGCTCCTACGTTTCATTAGCCAGCTCATAGAAAAGGTCCTCGATATATTGGTAACGAATCAAATATATCTTTCCTGCCTCTTCTCGTTTGACTTCTGATTTTCTATCTGACTGGGAACGATCAAATATAGGAGGTGCTACTGGTAGCTAGTTGTAAAACTAGAACATCCGTTGCATCTTCACTACAATCTAGATATTTTGACATGTCTTCCTGTTTTTTTGCTGTAGCATACTAATCACGTCTTAATAATTACACAGCTTATTCCGGAGCATATACAGATGATTTACAAGTTTTACGAGGTATAGGAAGAATCTAATTTCTAAATACAACAAACCGAATGAAGCTTTGTACACTATACAGAATAACGTACTTTTGCGCAATGTGATAAAACCTGATTGACTGAATTGTTTTATGCCTAAAGATACAATATTCGAAGTGTTTTTCTTCACTCTGCTGGTCAATGAATTCTAATCCGATTACTGCCAGTTCGTTATATCTCTGCGACCTAAGAATTGTGGGGTTGAGCCCTCCAAAATCAAAATGAACAAGTTGAGAAAACACACATAAATCAGGACAATTGTATGTAATTCAACCCTAAATCCTGAGAAAATATGGAGATCAGCAATGATTTCGCTTTGCTGCTCTCCCTGATCGTTTACCTTCAAGACCAAACCACCTCCCGGCAGATAAAAATGAAAGTGGCAAGTTAGAAATCCCTAGCTACAGACTGGCCTTTTTGTCCTCCTCAGTTGCAAAAGTCGTGGAAAGTTCTTACAGAATCTCTCGGCAAACATTTATTCAACAAATCTTCTCGACTGAAACAACTACATAGCAGTAGCCTGTTAACCAATTAGAGTTGCTAGACTCTATTACCGAAGAACAACCATCATGTTCATACATGTCTTTGAGACGTCTCTGAGACATTCATCAGTGTTAAACATGGAGCTCCAAACCTATGGGTAAATTATATGAACTAGTGTCAAACAAAATGGCCTATATATTACTTACAAGGTAAATCGAAAGTCCGGAGAATCCGGTCTACTCCATGTTTCTAGTTCTTAACGACATACAGAGTTTAACAATAGCCCTATCTTTCAACCACTCATCTTCTTACTTTCCGTTAACAACTTACATAGTTCCTTAGACTGGCGTGCTCTGTAGTACACAGATGATTTTAAGGTGTGAAAGGAAATACTTGACATCCCAACAAGACGTAGATAGGATACTTTTCCAAACCAACAGACATCTATGCTAATTATCTTCACAAAGCTCTGTTGGTAATGAGGGTGATAACTGCAGGTGTTACTCAATTTCCACTTCCACTTTTAATAACTGACTTGTTTTACCTTTGATAATCACAAAGAACATTAAAACAGTCGTATTTTTTACTTTCCAAAATGTTCTCGTACAACGCAAATGCAGATTTTAAGAAATACAGTTCGTTAATCCTGTCAGACCAAGTTTGAGTTTTGAAGGGTAAGAGCGCGGTTTGTGAACACCTACCATACGATGACAGTCGATAATCTTCCTGAACCTGGATCAAGTATAACGGCTTATTGTTCTGACACCCTAATACAAGGAGAAGTTCTATGTGTAGATGCATCAAAAAAGCTGATCGTTCTGCGTACGTTGCTTGATAATGTGAAGATGTAATGGATGTTATTGAACTTTTAGAGAAGCCCTCAAGTATCGGCAGGCCTGACGAGTGTGACATACTTATTCTACGTGCTGATTACCTTAGAGATCTAAAGAGCACCAAAGAAGGGTCTCCACCAGCCTGTCCTGAACTAAATATTGAAAAGGTTGGTATGTTTTAGGATTACTTACGTTGTGCTTTTCAGATAATTGAGCGTATTCGAGTTAACGAACGTATTCAAAAGGAAAAGCTGAAGTTTTATGGCCACGATGTCCCCGTGGACGCTCGTAAACTTGCCGAATACCTGGAAACGTACATTATCAGTCGACTTCCTAGATATGATTAATTAGTTTTTTCACTGTAGTTTGGGATAAGCCACATGTTGTTGTAATGGATCATACAATTATCAGCCCTCCCTATAAGGAAAGCAATGTTTCCTGTAATTCAGATGCACAGCAAGCCAAATCACAAACAGATTATGTACAGAGATTGGTACGTTTGTCATTTCTCACGTCACGCGTTATAGGTTAGTCGGTTTTATCAAGAGCGTGTCACGGATAATAGGGGTGGAAATTGATATAACTCCCCTTTCAGAAAATATACAATATCTTCTATTCAGTTGTCTTTTCTAATGAACTGTTTATCTAGTAACAACATTCAGTCGTAAACTTAACATTCATATAGTAAAAGTTATCGACTGCAAAAATATAGTTATACACCTCGAATAGCGTTATTCAGTAGACTGTTCTTGTAATGTTTACTAGTAATTGATGCCTAGTGTATTTGAAACGGTTGAATTTTCTTCAAGTATACACCACGTGCATTATATGTCTAAAAGTACTCTTCATGCCCCCCAAACTCATTATTGGGATGTCAGTGGAATTTATTTACTTGGTTTTCGTCCTGCAGGATAACGGTTCTGTCCGAAACTTGTTTTGCTACTTGAAGACTTGACGAAACGGGCGGTACTTCCGCACTACTGAAATTCCGAAGTAATATGTAATAAACTTTGGATGCTTGAAGTATGAGCTTGAGTCGTTTACGAAAACCTGGGATAGTTGGTTATATACTGTACTGTTGTCAGGATGCTTTTCAGGAAGCACATTATGAATAAGGAAACTGAATTTTGATTTCATGAGATTAATTGTAGACACATTTTGTCTCATGTTTGGCATCAGAATTACTCATTCCATTTCCAACATAACACCTATGGTCCATCATGAATCGTAGGAGTTAGTACTCGCTGCAGGTTCGTTCGACGAGTGCGATGACTAGAGAATTTGGTTTATTTACTACAAACCAATGAGGTTAGAGTGCTTTACATTGCTTAAACTTTCAGAATTAGGATAATCATTTTCATCCGAAATAGACACAGCAGCTGTGTTAGGAACCAATTGGATTCTGTGTATCAGTTATCTGGCCCCCAAATGCCCTGGTACGGCCGAGAGTGGGGAGAGTCTGCTCTCCCTCTCGAAATGCTCTCATATGGCCACACGAATATATAGCCTCTGCCAGGGAAGTCCTACTCACTGCCTTCTCACACTAGGGGTGTTGTTTACGAAATTGAGAGGACGAAAAGCGAATGTCCGGCGCTTCAACCGGGTTGGTGGACACGGATAGTCCACCTAGGGGGGTTGGAAAACCCTGATTCCAAACCAATGGTGCACATGGGCTCCAGTATCCTGTAGGAACGAATGGCATATGAACCAATTGTTGGTCACCGGCTACCATGGGAATGCATCGCCTCACGATTCTGAACTGCCTTGTGGATCAGACCTTTAGGTCGAAGGCTCCGGGTGTGGCCCCCTAAGATAACCACCTGCTTCAGTTTGGGCACCTGGGCAGTATCACAGCCCCCACACAAATCAACTTAGATTTATATGACGCATATGTATCTGGTGCCTTTTTGTACCAATATTTATGTGTTTAAATAAATAAATCGCTTATCTGAGAAAGCGATTAGTTAACTTAGAGTATTCTCTCGACCTTGTCAACCAATTATTTCCCGTTGCTGCCCGCTAAATATATTCCTTATCAAGGTAACTAATTTGTTCTTGATTTCTGTAAGAAAATCTTACAACAGGAATCTTTTTCTCTTTGGTACTTGAAGCGTACTAATTTTCTCCAAAAGTGAACCATACTGTAATTTGTTAGGTGACACTACGTTTTCAAGCTACACAGGACTGTAAAGTGGAAATCTTGTCGAGTATGGATGCTAGTAAATGTAGTGGTCATATTAGGTGGTGCAGCTGTATCAGAATATAGTCTTCTAATTTCAGATAATTGAAAGTTCTATGATCACTTATGTAATGGTATAAGATACAGCAGCGCAAATAACTAGTATCCAAAGTAAAATTCATTTTGCGGAAAGTACGTTGGGGCCTATCAACCATGTATCTAACAATTTTCCGGAAATATGGATGGCTTGTACTAGTTGCATCGGAAGCGTTAGCGTGAAGTGTAAATCTTAAGGGACATTTTCCTTTATTCTCGGCAAAGTAAATACGTATCTGTAAAACCACTAGATTCAATAATTAACCTCAGAAACTGCCTTAATATGCATTAAAATTACATTAAAAAATTGGGAAGCATAGAGTTAAGCTTAGAACACGGTTTTTGTATTGAGACTAAAATTAGTGATAACAAAGTAGTTAAGTGTATGAATCAATCGTTGGTCACCGGCTACCATGGGAATGCATCGCCTCACGATGCTCCACTGCCTTGTGGATCAGACCTTTAGGTCGAAGGCTCCGGGTGTGGCCCCCTAAGAAAACCACCTGCTTCAATTTGGGCACCTGGGCAGTATCACAGCCCCCACACAAATCAACTTAGATTTATATGACGCATATGTATCTGGTGCCTTTTTATACCAATATTTATGTGTTCAAATTAATAAGTAAGTAGGTGTTTTGTAGACAAAAGTGGTTTTCGGTCCCTAAAAATATCCCTCAGATATGGAGTGCCATATTAATGAAGTAGGTATATACAAGCACTAAGTCGTGTCTTATGATGAGTTTCCCGTCATTTCAGTGTTATATCTTAGTAAAGACATTAGTACAGGTAACTTCCGGGATCTATTAATAGGCTATTATATATATATATATATATATATATATATATATATTCTTGTTGTATAACTATTCAGCGATTAGATTTAATCTATATATATTCATCTTATTATAAGCTTCGTTTTGACATATGGTTTACTATTATATGAATTACCGTTCATGAATTATAGTCAGTTTATTAATTATTGTATTCCATATTCACAGCCACATTTGGCTTGATCTTGTACAAATATTATTTTTTACTTTATGGTGTTATGCGGTCTGTCTGTCTGGTATATAAACCGAGTATGCTTGAAATAAATGATTCGCGTAGCAGAAGCTGTAATTGATGCTTTGGTAGGGCTAGGCGGACAAGGGACTAATAAGAACGCTAGACAGCTCATACCAGTTGAACGTCATTGTTTTGGCACGTGTTAAGATTGAAAAAATCGTATTCTGATTGGTGGATAAATCACGTGATAAAAAGCTGGACATAAGACCACAACAATTGGCGTCGGGGATTTAAGCAAAAAAATACAACAATTGATGACGTGATTTTGTAAATCAATAAGCTGTAATAATTACCGGTGATTCTTAGGGAGTTAATCTTATTGGTATTATCAGTACAAAAATGGAGATTTTTTTTAGAACAGTTGCAGTTAATATTATAGCACCAGCAGCCGGACATAAAATCATAACGAATTGGCGACGGCTTTTTATTAAAGTCAAAACAGGTTTCATAAACTATCTTTGCTGTATATGAATCTATGTTCTGTTTAATAGACTTTTGGACTGCAAGGAAAACTAATGACAGTTTGTTTTCCTGTTTACTGTTATGGTGAACAAAAAAGTATATTGACCTGAGAATAGTAATAAAGTTATTACGTCCAAAAGTTAATGTAATAATAAACAACTTATAAGTAAAGGGACGTTATTTAAATCAGCTGGCTGGTATGTGTTCTGTTGAGTTTGGTACCACAATCCACAATTATAGATAATTAATAATCCCAATGAGATTGATATGGCTCCAGTAAGTTAGCCAAACGTAGAATACAATGGGAATGTTACAATAGTCTATAAATATAGATGATAGTTAATTAATAGTTGAGTTATCGTATCCACAAGCATGATAGAACGAGAGGTGTGTGTATAAGAGTGTATTTATTTATGAGTAGTTGACAATGTCGTGCTATTTGAGATTCAAAAACGGAAGGAAGTCCGTGTTCAAGATTATAGACTTAAACAACACGTACAATCATTGAATGATAAATGTACATGCAGTGAAAAATTGACTGAATAAATACAAATAACATCAAAAACTATTTACAAAATAAGTTTGTCAGGCATATCTCCACACTATGCTATCGGGCGACTGTCCTTCCTTTATACAATATTAAATAAGATTACAAATTATGGTTCATTCTAATTTAACTTCTAAATGTCCGGTTAAGTGTAGAAATCAACTACTTTTACAATGTTCTGCAGCTATCATGTATACTACATAGATGAAAGTACAGTACTAATAAATGATTTTCGCATTTTTCCAGCAGATATATATTTTCAAAGTCCCGTAATTGATTTTTTTTAGAGTTATCAACGCATTTTAGAATCATTTGAGTGAAGAAGCAAACCAAATTTATGTATGCGTATAAGCTTAACCTAACACTGAGTGCTAAAAAATTATCCAGTAACAACACTCTTCAACGTTAGATTTCGTACAACGATAATGAAGGGGATTTTGGATCTCTATATCATTGCACCATCCTACTGACAACGAACCTGATAATAGTTCCAGAAAACTTATTTCTTCGATAGTTTTGGCCACTAAATTTAATCTATCCAACGTAACGAAATTTTTTAACTAATTTAAATTTAGGTCATTCGAATATCGCAAAATGTACACCAATATACTATCGTAAGTTTGAACGTTGTTCAGGATACTTTCATAAAGCTTATAAAAAAGGTTTATTCAACTTTATTTATCTGTCGTTTACTATTTAGTCAGTCTTTTGTCCCATATAAATCTCAAGGAATTGGCATTCTTTGTTTGATTTTGTATTCTACACTTTGATTACAATCTTTCAATTAAATCTAACTTGCATAGTTGAAATCATGAGTCAATTGCAGCTAGACCACCAGGAAAAACCTGGAAGCACTGCTTGAAGGCCGTTTCGTTCTATTGTGGGACTCCTCAGCAGTGCACATCCACGATCCCGCCTCGCGAGATTCGAACCCAAGACCTACAAGTCTCACGTGCGAGCACTCAACCGATAGACCACTGAGCCGGCCAGCATCCAACGGTGTTAATGTCTAACTTCAGCCAATCCACGAAATTGATCAACCGTTCACCAATTGTCATCAGTGATTTGTTATCTCACAACAGGTTTTACAAGGTGGTCTAGCTTCAATTGACTGATGATTTCAACTATGCAAATACTGAAATCTCCACAAAACCCCTTCTGATAAATCAAGCTTGTTTGGTCACCTCACCAATAGCCAACTGAATATACTACTTTGAAGATAATCATTGATAAATTGGTCGTAGAAACATTTTTTTTCTCATTCCAATTAGTAGTGTCAACTGCGGGAAAAGTGTAATTAACAAAATTAAAAATTTACTAGCATTGTGGTTTGTGCTTCTGATGTCGAACGATATAAGTACCATGCATCATCAATCAAGAGTGAAATACCTGACGGAAGAAGGTTAAGAAGATCCAAGAGAAGAGGACGAGAACGAAGAATGATTGGTGTGGAAACGAAGGAATAATGAAGTCTGAGACGATTGATTGACGTTTTGCAAATGAAGTATTTACTATATGGATTTCAGATTTTACTAAGTGATTCTGTAATTTTGTATTCGAATACATTCGGTTGTCTCTACTTGTGTTCCTGTTCACTACAGTATGATGCACAATTAAAAGTTGATAAAATTTTTAAAACAAATGTTGAACTAAAGTGATCTTTATTATTAATGCGATATTTCAATGTGCGGTATTTGTTGTGCTTATTTCATTCAAATAAAATTCACCTCCATTTTAATGTACTTTTGTTATCGTTCACGATGACGTTCTTCAATAAATAAATATGGCATCTAATTCAGTGTTCTTACAGTGTATCCTGGATTAAAAAAATCTGAAATAAGTCTAAGAGAGTGACGGAACGAGTACAAACTTACATTAAACTATCAGGGTTTCTGATACATCTTTTTAATGAATACCCATCAACAGGAAATTCATGTTCAAGGTTTCCAGCAAATTGCATCCATCCACCTATCAAAATATAGTCACCCTGTACAGTTGAACGCCTTTGGAGCCTTTTCAAAAGTTGACGACTAGATAGTATGAAACTAGGCTATATTTGAAACGTTTTCTTATGTGCTTTTCTAACAGTTTCACTAGCTTGGTTTGAGAATTCACTGAGGGCATATTTTATATATTCTTATCAGGCTCATTCTCTTTAATATACTGTTGCTCATGATTTTTTCTCATCTGTTTTCTCATCCCATCAACCATTGCTTGCTATCAATGAGAAGTCTCATATTTAGTTTATAATTACATCACCTTAGCTCTTCACCATGTTCGCGGCAATTCGAGAAGCGTTTCCACGTATAATTTATTTCGTTTAATGTTGTAAAGATTCTATGGCTTACTATCACATTTGTTTGTAAATTTTTATACGTTATCATCACTGTTTGAGAAACGAATAAAATACTTCTTAGTCCAATTGAAATGGCAGTTATTTTTATGCTCTGTTAAATAAACGTACATTTCCCCAAAGTAAATCTTCTGATTGTGATTTGAGTCGTTCAATCAAACAAATAACAGCTTAATGACAGTATCTGATTAAATGTTGAGCAAATAACACATAAAGAGAGAAAAATCTTCAGTAATTCTTCCTAAAGGTAATGAATCAGTAGCTTGGTGTAAAACTGTAATTTTGACATTAAGTTCTAACGTAAGGTAATGTTGTTCATCAATCCATATAACCATACCATATTGTGTTTTTAATATGTTAAACAAATTCAACTAGCTTCATTAAAGAGATTCATTTTAAAAACATAAAAACTTCTTTTGATATCACATATCTTCAGTTTTATTTCTCAATAATCACTATTCAAGTTACGATCATAATTAAGAGATTAATCTTTTTAGAATATTAAAGATTCCCATTGTGAAAATTAGAACAACATATGTAAGCGAACAATTGTTTTCAATTAGATTGTCATCAGGTTTTACTCTAATGTACATGAATATGCCTGACTTGTAGAGCAAAAAAGATTTGTTCAGTCAGGAGCTGAAATTTATCAATAACTTACTGACAGAGATCGGTTATCCTAGTTCGTTCATTAAGAAGTATATGTGTGATACAAGAAAGAAGTCTGAAATTTTAACTGTTCCAAAGAAACTTTTATAAATGAAACTACAATTCAACGGGGATGTGGCTAATGATACTCTGAAAGATAGTTTAACGAAAGTAATTAGTAGAACTTTCTACGCAGCCTATCTCGCATTGACTTTCTCGAGTCGACCAGTGACGTCTACTTAAACGAAGGATAAGTTACCTGAGTTGGCCTCCTCTATGTGGATTTACAAGTTCAGCTGCTCTTGTGGAGATAGCTAGATCGAGCGTACTACTAGGCAACTTCACTAAGGAATGAGTGAACATCTACCAGCATGGTTTGGGAAGAGTCAGATAAAAACAATACGCAGTTCTATCTTGGTACATCTAATTGACAGTGGTCATAATCTAGATAAATCGAAATCATTTCGAGTGATCTATCATACACCTCCATCATTTCTCAACGGAGTTCTTTCGCGTCTCCTTCATATAGTAGAAGCCATAGGAATTCATACATTTCACCCCAATTTATGTGTTCAGAAGAAATTTGTAACCCCCCATCCCTTCCATGGCCGGACGTAACTTAACAAATGACATTATCACTATTGTTTTAAATTTTATTTTAAATTTTGTTATCATTTGTTTGTAATTTTCAACCTCTTTCCGTTTGCATTCTTCACCATCTAATTATTCACATACTTATTGCGTAATGATTTTAATGTTTTTTTGATTACTATCCTAAGCCTATTTACCCACGTTTGACCTCTTATTTCCAATGTTTAACTATTACCTATTGATGAGACTTTTGTTATCGTAATTTAATATTCTTACTACTATCAGTACACCTATCTTTCCACTATCAACTTGTACTTTTACCTATTATGCTCGGTGAAGTATTCTATTTCATTGTGATCATTGACTCAAATTGCCTTGATTGGTTTAACAGTTTCGTATAAATATTCATGTATATTACAGTAAAGCCTGATGACGACCTAACTGGAAAACAATATTGTTCGCTTACATGTATTGTTCTAATTATTCTCTTTATTTCATTTATTAAAAATCATAATCAGAAGGGGTTTTGTGGAGATTTCAGTATTTTTCAAAGTTGATATCATGAGTCAATTGAAGCTAGACCACCATTAAAAACCTGGAAGCACTGGACGGCCGTTTCGTCTTATTATGGGATGGTTGCTCAAACTTCGTGGATCGGTTGAAGTTAGACATTAACACCGTTGGATGACGGCACAGTGGTCTATCGGTTAAGGGCTCTGGCTCGAGAGTGGTAGGTCCTGGGTTCAAATCTCGTGAGTGCGGGATCGTGGATGCTCACCGCTGAGAAGTCCCATAATAGGACGAATTGGCCGTCAAGCAGTGCTTCCAGGTTTTCCATGGTGGTCTAGCTTCAATTAACTCATGATTTCAACTTTGAAAAAAATCATAATCTACATTAGTATAATAAGCAAAGATGGATAGTGGCTAGCAATGGAATCCAGGACGCGCGTTTCGTCCTATTTAGGACTCGTCAGCTGGATGTACACATCAATGGGAAGATTCAAACAAACAATACTAAGTGAATTCTACATTTGTATATATTAAAAATTTTCTTTATAAAACATATAAATAATTGTATCAAAAAGCCAGAGCTTTGCATCCAAAAGAAATATGTCCAGCCACTCCTTTTCTCCTGGACAAATTCAGGGTCAACTTGCTAATAATCAATCTTATAATATGGTGACATTAATTTGATTAATGTTCATTTTTATATCCTAAACTTATTTGATCTACACATCTTACCAGTCATTATTATTATTATCACACTTGCTAACATTTTAGAGCAATTTATTCGGCATCCACCCCTATTCACTATATCTGACCTAATTCATATTATTCTACATATTACGTAATTTCTGATTTGTAATCCTATTATTCACTCTCATTCAATGTTGACTATATTTATTGTAAGCAAAGATGGATAGTGGTTAGCAATGGAATCCACGACGCGCGTTTCGTTCTATTTGGGACTCGTCAGCTAGATTTACCTGCATCTCAGAGTTGATGTTCACTCTGGGACTCGAACCCAGTACCTTTCGCTTCAAACACCATCGCGTTATCCACTCAGCTACTGAGTCCTGATAGCCAGTTGCTTGTGCAATTAGTTGAAGTTTAAGTTCACTTAGTATTGTTTGTTTGAATCTTACATCTTTGCTTATAATGCTTGTGAATTTAGGCTATATCGAGGCAATACGCACAGTATGCACATATGCCAATAAGAGACTGACCAGTTACAGTCCTAACACATCGGTCGGAAGATTCAAACAAATAATAATAAGTGAATTTATATTTATTCTGATCATTTATCTTATGATTTTATTTCACTTATAAACTGTTTCAAGTTAACACTTCATATTAGTCAGCTCCAAGATTATCGATTCGATTTAATTTTATATGACAAACAACACTCCTTAATTCACATATTACAGTTTCTTAAATGATGTACTCTGTCTTAAACTTGGCCAATTTTCTTTTGTAGATTATTAATTTGGATGTGATAATTATAGAACCTAATGAGAAATGAATAAAAAGAATATTCTTCATTTATATTAATTATATTTTAATTATATTTCTTTGAATTATTAAAATTAACCAATCACAATTCTAATCTCTTTTTTGTTTGTTTTTTTAACCAATCAAAAAAAAGAAAAATTAAATTTACTATATAAATCTGCAAAATTTCTTAATATTCATTTCAAAATGTTAATACACAATTATATTATTGATCATTTAATTATTCATTAAATTTTTTTATATTATTTTTAATTAATTCTAATGAAATCAATAACTAATCAATTATCTAATTGTTTAAATTCATTAACTAATGAAGAAATTATGGTATATAATTTTCGTGCATATATATCACCATTATTATCATTAATTGGTATACCAGCAAATATATTTATTATTATAATATTTAATCTATTAGAAAAACAACAATCATGTCGTTTTAATTTATATGCAATATGGATGGCAATAGCACATTTAATTCAATTAATAGTAAATACATTTATTGATGATTTTTTAGGTCGTGGTTTAAAATGGGCAACAAATTGTTTAATATGGTATCAAGTTGATTCATATTCATCATTAACATGTAAATTATTAACTTATTTATCTGATGTATCCGCATTAATTGCTGCATTTATTTTAATGTTATTTAGTATAGATCGTGTATGTTCCATTTATTGTACTAAACAAATTGAACAAATATTACATTTACGTATAGCTAAATTATTTATATTTTTAATATATTGTATATGTTTATTATTAAATATCCCTCATTTAATTTATGCTGATTTAAAAAATGATACCAAGGAAACAATAAATTGTCAATATATTAATCCAGTTGCTGGGGGTGTTAAATATGTTCTTTATTTATATATAATTGGTGTTACTATATTACCAGCTATATTAATATTTATTATGAATATATTAATATCATTTAAATTAAAAACAACAATAAAACATTCAAAATTAAATGGTTATTATGATAAACAATCATATAATGAATTAAGTAAAGTGATTACTCATTTAGCTATAAGTATTATGTTTACTTGTTTATCATTACCATTAGTTGTTATAATGATATTAAGACAAAAAGTACATTTTAATAATTATGAATTATTATATCCAATTTATTCATATAAAATTATACAATTATCAAAATTATTTAGTTCAATTGATTCATTTAATCATACATTTGATTTTTTTTTATATTGGGCATTTTTACCAATATTTAGACAAACATTATATAAATTAATTACAAAATTATTATGTAATAAGTGTAATAAAAGGAGAAGGAGTAATCATAGTAATAATAATAATAATAATAATAGTAATGGTATGAATATGAATACAAACAATAATGGTAATATGGTACTCCCCAATAATAATAATAGTAATCATAGACTAATCGATAATCCGATGAACAATAATGATCATCATCATTATAATTATGATATATCTGATTTATCTTGTTATTCATATATGAATTTTCCTTTAGGATATATTGATTTTACACGTCGTCAATGTAGAGGTCGTTGTTCACCTCATAGTCTTTATTATTATCAACATTATCGTCATCGTCATCGTCAACATCATCATCGTCATTATTATCAACCTTATTATCAACAATGTCAACGAAAATTTATCCCATTAGAATATAGTAAACAATTAAGTTTTCATTGTATGAAAGAAATTCATGATAAACATTTACAAAATGAACAACAATAATTAGATGATAGTTTCTAGATAATCTTATTATTATAATTTTTTCTGGTGACAATGAACAGATATAGATACATAAATGCACATATATCCCCCTCATTTTTTTATTCACTAAACAAATTTTTTTTCCTCATCATAAATTTGACTATGAAAGTATTACATAACAATTAACTCTACACTACCTATACATAGTACGGTAAATTGATTCAATGAATAAAACGGGTTTCATGTTTTGTTTTTTCTTTTTCGTTTAATGAATAAAATCAAATCAAATGTTATCGTCGTACATAGTATAACAACTGTGATTACCTCATTGTACATTATTTAAAATAGATTATAAGAATAGTCAGTATTAAGTTATATTTTTCTTTTCTCATCTATTTGTTCATAATAACAAACCCACGTTTAGATTAGGTTTCAATGTTATCCTTTTTTTTCTCTACTTACCTGTGATGTAATTATCTTTTAATCTCTAAAATCATTGATCATCGATAATAGAGTGTTGTATACTAAAATTTCAATTTATGGTTTTATGTTATATTTGAAAAGAATGAAAGCTTCATGACTAAACCATCTAGTTCAGAGAATAAAACTCTATCAAAAATTACCCACCTCAGCTACAAATTGTTCTCCATCATCAATTTTTTGACCCTACTATTACCTGTTTTTTTTTTAAATACTTTGATATTTAACAATATGATTTATGTGTTTTTAATTGTTTCCGAGATTTTCTACCACCATCATCGTCATCATTATCATTGTATAAGTAACCATTTAATTGTCAATATTAATACACCATTTAATGATATTATTTTTTAACTACCATTTTTGTTCTCTTTTTGTTTAATAAATTAAATATAGATTGTACTATTGATTATTTTTTTTTCTATATTTGGCATAATTCATCATTATTTATTTGAACACGTAGATACTGGTACAAGGGGGGCACCAGATATATATGTGCTACACAAGAAAATTGTCATTTCATTTAATTGTGTGAGGGCTTATGATACTGCCCTGGTGCCTAGATCGAAGATTCTTCATTAAGATATAATGTCATTGTGTAATTGTTCTTTATAATGTTTTTTTATTTATAAAGGCGATAAAAATGCGTATAATTGTTGAAACTTTCAGAGTATTAGTACATTATACTTACAAGTTTTTGAAAGTAGTGAAGTACATGGGCGTTTGGCCTTTGAATTACGACCTATATATATAGTATATGAGTAATAATTTATAGCATCATCAAGATTTCTACAACAGAATGACTCTGTGACTTTCTAGTTCCTATTCACAATGTTTAAATTTTATTCATTTAATATTAGGAAAATAGATCATGATTCATTATTGTTAGTTTTATTTTTATTCGTTTTATATTGAAATCAGGTAAATATTATTCACCGTCGAGGAGTTTCACAATAGGATGAAACAGCCGTCCAGTGTTTTCAGGTTTTTCATGGTTGTCTGGCTTCAATTAATTCATTATCTCAACTATTGAAATTACTGTAATCTCGACAAAACCCCTTTCTGATATTAAATATTATTCATTTAAAAATATTATGAATTTCATAATGATAGAACAGAATTTTATTATCAACTATAGTAAATAATTTTATATAGTTGAAATCATGAATCAATTGAAGCTAGACAACCATGGAAAATCTGGAAAAACTGTTTGACGTACGTTTCGTTCTATTGTGGGACTCCTCAGCAGTGCGCATCCACGATCCCGACTCGCGAGATTTAAACCCAGGACCTATCAGTCTCGCGCGCGAGCGCTTAACTACTAGACCACTGAGCCGTCATCCAACGGTGTTAATGTCTAACTTCAACTAATCAACGGAGTTGAGCAACCATTCACCATTAAATAATAAATAATAGTACTTTGTTAGTGAAGTTTTTATGAATACTGGTTAGTAAGACAAAAAAGAAAAATAGTATAGCAACCAGCCTACAATCAATTTCGATTATGGTAAATTTTGGTTAAACCTTTTTATTAACTTACTTAACAGACATCGTCATTTGGATAACAACAATTTGCATATTTCTTTTTACTGTTATGACCACTAGAACACATGACACTCTAGCCAAAATGTTGATTGTTTAAGTATGATTCGATGACTCATACTCCTTCCCATATATCAGCTTTTGTTTTGTTTTGCTGTGCCCTTATTAAATTTGACTTTAAAATGACTACGTAATTGCTTGCTACACACTCGCTTGCTTGCTCGCTGATATTCGCTGTTAGCTTTCTGGCCTGAGTTATTTGTCAATAAAACTGTAGTTGCTACTTCTCTTTGCCTTCTGATTTTATACACCGTTAAGATTAGAATTATAACGGTTATCAAGGTGAACGATTAACGAAGCACGGCACTATAATAGAACAACAAATTAATTAAATATGGTAACTGTATTATTAATTTATTTCTATTTTTTCTTCTTTTTTTTCCAATTAAACTACTATCGATTATCATTTGAATAATATAAATCCTGTTGAAAAAGAAAATGATTATAGTGTAGTGAACGAGAATACAAGTAGAGGTAACCGAATGTATTCGAATACAAAATTACAGAATCTCATAGTAAAATCTAAGATCCGTACAGTAAATACTTCATTTGCAAAATGTCAATTAGTCGTCACAGACTTCATTATTCTTTCGTTTTGACACCAATCATTCTCCATTCTCATCCTCTTCTTTCGGATCTTCTTAACCTTTTGCCGTCAGATATTTCACTTTTGAGTGATTATACATGGTACTTATATCGTTCGACATCAGTAGCACACATCAAAATATATTCAAAATGATCGACTTAAAATCAACTATTTTATTTCATTTAGTATTATTTGTTTAAATCTTCCCATTGATGTGTTAGGACTGCAACTGGTCAGTCTCTAATTGGCATATGTGCATACCGTGCGTATTGCCTCGATATAGCCTAAATTCACAAGCATTGTAAGCGAAGATGGATAGTGACTAGCAGTGGAATCCAGTTTGACGCGTGTTTCGTCCTATTTGGGACTCGACAGCTGGATGTACCTGCATCTCAGAGTTGATGTTCACTCTGGGACTTTATTAGTTGGTTTTAGGTAACTTTGACAATTTATTTTTTAATGATTTCAATTAATTATGACTCTGATAAAATATTTATCATGATTATACATGCTCCTAGCAAAATATTCATATTAAATGGCTTTTTATCATACTTCAGTGATTATTGTATGATTTATAGCTAATTGATACAATATTGAATGAATTGATTACGTGGTGACGGTGGAAGAATGTAACTTATTGGTTTTTAAGTATTTTATTATAGTTCTGTAAATTTACGTTTCCTATTCCTACAATTGAAGAACATATAGAACTCAAAATAACTGTCAACCAATATCAAAGTCATAATCTTCTATACGAACGTCAAGGTAGTTCTACTGTAAAGAGCTGAAACTTCGAGAACTACCACAACCATCATCAAACAAATGTACAAGTATTTATAAGGAATTTCCTACACAAGATTCTCAACAGCCTACTGTGGAAGAGAACTAACCAGCTTCCAACTGAAGAGGAAATTAGGAAAAGACTGTGGAAATGGATAAGAGATACATTAGGGAAATCACCAAACTACATCATTAGGGGGACGGTTACCTGAAATCATGAAGAGAAGCGGAAAGAGGGAAGGCCGAAGAACACACTGTTTCGGGAACTGGAAGCAGACATAAAAAGGATGAATAGCAACTGAAAAGAATTTTCGATGACAGGGTTGGATGAAGAATACTGGTATGCGGCTTATGCTTCTTCACCAAAGGTAACAGGTGTAAGTAATTATGTAATTCCATGTTTTTGACATTCGTTTTACTATCATCCGACAATTAGTTTGATAAAAACTTATGTGTACTTTCCTTTTATCTTAACTGTTTCTTTGTATTCAAAAATACCGATATATATATATATATATATATATATATATATATATATATGTACGTATGCAACTGTTGCTCATAAATTTACCTATAAAGAGTGCCGTAATCACCTACCAAATGATATCAAATAACAGATGCACTATTTGTGAAAATTCATTAAAACTGAAAATGTAAAGCACTGGATCATCCAACTTGAAGATGCAATAGCCGTTCTGCGAGAGAAATTTGTGTTTATAAACACGTAGGATTGCTACTATTGAAGGATTATTTACTGATAATTAAACAACTTTGTGGATTAGCAGAGATGGATTGTGGTTAGCAGTGGAATCCAGGACGCGCGTTTCGTCCTATTTGGGACTCGTCAGCTGGATGTACCCGCATCTCAGATTTGATGTTCACTCTTGGACTCGAACCCAGTACCCTCGCTTCAATTTAAACTTTGTGGATTAGTTGAAGTTAGATATTAACACCTGTGGATGCCGGCCGGTTCAGTGGTCTAGTGGTTAAGCGCTCGCTGAGAAGTCCTGGGTTCGAATCTTGCGAGGCGATATCGTGGATACGCACTGCTGAGGAGTCCCACAATAGAGCGAAACGTCCGTCAAGCAGTTATTCCAGGTTTTCCATGGTTGTCTAGCTTCAACTGACTCATGATTTCAACTACAAAATTAAACAACTCTTTAGTGCTTCCTACTTTTTGACAATTCTCTAGCTAATTTCATCTTACAATGTAGATGATCTTTCACTAAGATTTTCTGTTTATAATCGAAAAGCTGAATAAATAATATTTTCGTTTGATGAGATTATTTTATCAGATTCAAAATAAAGTTGAAATCGTAAAATATTGAAGGGAACAATTAAATTCGAACTCTGTTTTTGGAAAAGAAACTAACTATATGAATATATGAATGAGAAGACAAATCCTCTGTTTAAAATCAAGTAAATCAACATCGTATAGACCATTAACCCAGGTATATTTATGTAAAGTATTGATGTAGCTTTGAAACCAATGAATCGTAATTAATTTTATTAGACCACAAGGAAGTGAAACAATTATTTTTAAATTCCTCCTCCTCCTACTACTACTACTAATACTACTGCTACTATTACTACCACTATTACTACTACTATTACTACTACTGCTATTACTACTACTACTGCTACTATTACTACTACTACTACTATCACTACTACTACTACTACTACTACTACTACTACTACTACTACTACTACTACTACTACTACTACTGTAGTGAACAGAACACGACTGGGGACAATCGAATGTATTTAAGCAAACATTACAGACTATCTCAGTAAATTCTGATTACCAAACAATGAACAGTCAATTTGCAAATTAACAACCAATTGTTTCAATCTTCACTGTTTCTTCTCTTATTCCATTGCTCATGCATTTTCCAAACGATTGCGCTTCATTTCAGTTCTTTCCTCATCGGTCTTCTGCGAAAATACATTCTATGTCTGACCCACACCATATACTACTTATATAGATATAAGTAGACCACACCACACTACTACTAATGATTACTTTTCACAAAGAATGAACACTAAAAATCAAAGTATAACTTTAAAACATACATCAATAAGACTAGGCTCGTTAACATTTAAAGAGTTTGTAAACAAATAAATAAGATATATGTGTGTTTAACATTAAGATAATGTCATTTCGAAAAGTTGTTTATTGATAATATAGAAAGTATATAATCATTAATTTCAAGGTATGTAACATTATAAAAAAAAATTTGTTTATTGAAGTGATAAATATTGTCAGAAACATTTCTAGACTAAACTTCAGGATTCCATCATTATTATTATGAAAGAGCTGTAAATCAATTTAAACGTTTTTATAAATACTTTCCGCTTTTTAAGACTATGACACACTACAGCAAAGTATTAAAACAGTAAATTCAACTTCTAATCTCTCTTGATACAGAAGGTTCCA